TAAGATTTCAAGTTTTAGTGTCAGTGAAAACATTACTAAAACGTCAGATTTTGTTTAATTGATTATAAAATTGAAATATATCTAACAGGGAGAAAAATATTCTGATTAAATTACGGTATTGTACATTTAACAGTCATGGTAGGAATGACAGGCAATTTGGATCCCGGTCAGAGGGTCAGACGTCGTGGTCAGCGTCTGAACTAGTACCCCTCTCTCCAAGAACTTACAGCTACGACAGATTTTACAGTTGTTGTTTTGTCTACTTCCAGAATATAATTCACAAGCTCCAGCTCTCAAACAAAGGTGTGAGCCACACTTTAACAGACTAAATTTGAACAATATCACACTTTAACAGACTAAATTTGAACAATATCACGGTAGAACAGTTTACAAAATTTTTAATGGTGTAGCATTACGATAAAATTCTCCATTCACAATAAAAGAACTGTTCAAATCTCTAAGCGCTCGGAGAAATCGCTTCATCGCTAAATTATAATATCGGTTCCTTAAACCGTAATGCTATGCTAACTTAATAAATAAACTCAATAGCGTTTCTCTTTAAGTTACATTATAATATCCTGTTATCTAATTTAAGAAGGGTTAGTTTGAATAATAATATTGTTTAAATTAATATCGTATTAAATCTGTTGCAAATTCAAACAATGTTCTGGTTCAAACGCTCCAACATTTTTAACAGTGCAGAATATAAATTTGATCGAAATTTTTATGGAATTTTCATTATGAAAATTAATCCATCTTGAATTTAATTCTACAATGAAATTGTCTGTTTTACAATTCTTTTACTTGATTCGAATTGAAAATTATAAGTTCATTACAAAAAATTTAACTATGCAAACTATAAACAAAAGTAAAAATCGAGTTCAAAAATATAAAATTATTGACTTGGATTTTTAATAATCAATATTTCAGTTTGCAGATCAAATTACACACATGTATGAGGATATAAATTCATATTGTAAGAGAATTTGGATTTATCAAAAAAAAATTAAGTAGAAATTTAAAACATTTTAAAATGCTGCCAACTACCTTTCTCTATGGAAGAAAATTGCTTTTTATTTAATTTATTTTTCATAAATTGATAATTTCTTTTAAATTAGTAATTGTTAGAGAAAAATATTGGCTAAGAAGAAAGCTGCAAGTTTCAACATAACTCATAAGATTTTTCTACAAGTTTTAAGTATTCAATAAGTCAAGAGTTACATAATAATAAAATTTTATTTTTTTATGAAATATTGTAATTGATAAAACTCTTAGACTGAAAGATCCAGATTAAAATAAGTTTTTTCCAAACAAGGAAGAATATTTTTATAGCTAACCTAAACTATTTTTATAGCTAAAAAGTTAAACCTAGTGAAAAAATCTAAATAGGTTTTTCTATTTACATTGATGTGAGACAAATGTTTGACGAATAAATCTGATTTAAATCTTGGATTTAATTTTGATGACTTGTTCCACGATCAAATCTGTACCTTCGAATCAAAGATTGAGATTATTTAATGTGAGGTTTAAACGCGTGGTTATGTGAGGTTTAACGTAAAATTTTGAGTACACAACGATTAACTAAACACATAAATTCAATCTTTCAAATTTACCATGTGTATTTAGTTAATCTATGGATATTAAAATTAATCTATAAGCAGTTATTCAAGTTTTATTTCGATTATATAAATATTAATCGATATTAAAATATTTAGTCAAAAAAATTAAATCTAAGCACCAAAACAATTTATCAAATATTGCTCGAATGTGGGAAAATCGAAAACTTCAATACTCGAAACAGTTAATTTATGTTTCCCCTTTAATCAATAGCTTTCCCACAAACTTTTACGAACAATTACGAAATTAATCAAAAAACGATCATTGAAAAAAAAAACGAAACAAAGATAACCGGAGAAGTAAATAACAAATCTGACCACACACTCAACCATGATTCGAATCGTAATCACCGAAAGAGGGTCAAAGTGGTGATTGCGATCGAGACAAACTGACGGACACATTCTATAAAGACCCCCTCTTCTTTGCATAATCACAAGTTATTTTGCATGAAATTGCTCAACTTAGGTAACTCGTGGTGAGGTTTTCAGGGTAGAGCACTGGATGGACTACAGGTATTAATCCTCGAGTACGTCACTGTGACCTAATATCTTCTGCCGAGTAAAAGCAGTGGTAGGAAAATAACATATATCAACGCGAGAACATGCCGAGGACGAAATTAAATTATCGTTAGAGCAGACGACATTTATCTCCAGATCAGTCAACAAGCGATTTCCACATTTTGTAATGAATGCAAACGACATGCTGGTATCGTTATGAAGTGAAGCGTTATGTTTTGTGTAGGATTTTGTGTTATAGAATAAAAAGGAATTTTATTTTTGCTTCCTAATGTTTTTATTTCACACCGTTTAAATCTTTTATTTTGTTTTAAAAAAAAATCTGCTTTAGAGTATATTGAAGACGCTTCACTTTGATTTTCATTTAAAATATTAACTATGTGTAAATAAATAAATAAAAAAAATATTTAAATAAATAAAAATAATATTTTTTTCCAAAATATTGAGCAAGAGAGATTTTTTGATTAATATATATGAATCCTTTTTCGTTTCGTTCTTTATCTCGTTTTCTTTTCTCTTTCTTAATATCTCTTTTGATAGTTAAAATACATCTTCGAAAATGATGTTAAGATAATAATTGTAACATTTTCATAAAGAAAACAATTAAAAATCGCATAAGAAAAATAAGAGTTCGACATAAAAAAAGAATATATGCCATGCCTAAAAATGTTGTAAAGCATACCATTGTTCATTAGTTCTTGAAGAAAATATGTAATAAAAAATATGGCTTAAATATTGATGACACCAATAATAATAATTTGTTTAAGGGGTCTAGGAGGTTTTGATTACATCGAAGAAGCATCAAAGTACAACTTTTTTCGACATTTTATAACTTATTTAAAATTTAACTTAATATTCCGAATTTTTCATAGGTGTTAAACATAAGTGCATAAATTATTTAAATTCAGATACTTTTGTAAAATAATGCAAAAAACTTTTATATTTTAATTTCCTTTGTAGCTGAAATTTGAAGGGGGAAAAAGATGTTCTAACGTCTTGAGCGCAAGATAATAGTCATAAAAACAATATTATGATTTTCAAACAACTTTTAAAAGGCTGTCAATGCTCTTTTATAATATAATACTCTTTTAAATATGCTCTTTTCAAAAACCATACTAGCTCAAAGAAATTGAAGAAAAAAAAGTATTTTTGAAATTAAAAAGAAAATTTTTCTTGAGTTATATAAAGAAATAATTTATTTTGACTAAAAAAACATAAAATATTTACAATTATTCAAGTGCTACTATGAATTTAAGCAACATGTTATACTCAAACCAACTAGCAAGTTTTAATTTAATGGATTTGTTAGAAGTCGAGAAAACTAGAGAGCAAGATTAAATGATTTAAATTGGGTCTTGCACTTCAAGAAAAAGAACATCACGGATACCCACACGTGTGACTTATTACGTCAGTGCCAGCTGATCGCTTATAAACAAAACGGCGTGTTTAAGTCGAACAAAGTTTCGTCGCATAAGTCAGAATGTTAATTAACATGGAGTTAATTAAATACAGCAATGTATCGCACATCGAATTTGTTATAATATAATTCTTTCTCGTCTACAGCTTTTACTTAACTAAGATTTATTATTTCCGTATTTTATTGTGACCGTTATGTATTTTTGTATTGTGTACCTTTCAACTTTGATGCATTATTAGATTGCTTATATTCTACCTGACTTCGAGCCTGTTTTGATGTTAAGTTAGATATATATAATGAAAGAATTGAAATTTATGTAAAAGAATCTTTAGGAAAGAATATAGAATGTGTCCCTTAAGAGAATGGGTAAGATAATTGATACTTGACGCTTTTGCTTAATCGAAATAGAATGGAAAGAACAGTTGCTAACGTAAACAAATGCCACGTTTCAACAACCAATCAAGATCGAGAAGCCCTCACTACGTCACTAGCAGATATCCCATTGGGAAAAACGGATTTAAATACAAAACTATAAATAATTACTTCAAACAAAATACTTGAGTTTGCAGCCGATTCCAATTTAGAAAAAAAAAATTCTGTTTTCATTGAATGGGACTCAGTATTTTTGCTATAATTTTGTAAGTTTTTTTTCGGCATTGTTATGTACTTGGTGTCAAATTGCTCATAATAAAACAGGCTATAATATATATTTAAAAAAAATTGAAACTGTTATTAAGAAATACCCTCTAGATCCCTTAAAAATGGTTTAGAAGTTTAAAAGCAGGCATTGTTGCATAATTTAAGAAACGTCGCATTTCTTATTATTTTATCAACGAAATACAAAAAAAAAAGAAAAGAAAAGAAGAAGAAGAAGAAGTAAAGAACGAAGAACAAAAAAATTTGCTGATATAACAACCTCATCGCAGCCTAAACATCCCAAACCGTTTCATAAATACAACAGGACTACAGACAAGCAACATAGCTGTCAAAGTCCTTGTTTAGTTCTTTAGAATCCCCTTTTGTGCAGAAAAATGCACGCTTTGTTCTGAAAAAGAACAAAATAAAAGGGGGCAACCACAAGAACAAGTCTTGAGTTCTGTCAGGTATTTGGAGATTTAAGTTGGACGGGAAAAAAACTAGTCCACCCTTTTCCTAAGTCGTAAAATTCGCCTTTTTTCAGAGATAGCAACTTGGCAATAGTTGCTCCTTTAACTTCGTTGCACGTAGAAATCGCAGATTACTTGACATGTTTAGTTGTTCAGTTGCATCAGAAATAATATTAAAAAAGAGAAGTTTCAGACTCTTCTATCTCAAAAGGGTTACAAGTTATCCAAGGGCACGTTCTCACAGTACTATCCCCCCTATGAGATGCCATGTTAACCCTTACAAAGCGGTTTCTGGAAAGATGAGAATATATTGCATTGGTTAGGAAATTCTTTGAAAAAACTCACCTTGCAACATCATAAGGGTTGGAAGTACTTAGGGTATATCACCTTATCTTTAGCCTCAACAGCAAGAAACAGTTTTCAGTTTATCTGCAAAATAAAAAAAAAGTGAAATGTAGTTAAATCGTTTTCAAGTTACAGTCAAACGATTTCTTAAAAAGAAACGTGATAGGAATGAAACAAATAGTTATTTATACAAATTTTATTTGATAAATGCATATTGGTTTTTAAAAAAATCACATAGTGACGTCATGATCACATGCGCTTTAATTAATTATTATTTTTTTATTAAATTATTATTCTATTATTTAATTAAATACTAGATTATTTTAGATGTTTTTAAGAATGCGAATTATAAATTTTTTATACATTTTAATGTATAATGAAAATTGTTGGGTTCATTACATTTGAAATGTATATTTTTATAAGTTTGGAATTTGTACCAAAACATGTTAATTAATTCCAGCAAGTGTTGGGGTAAAGTTTTGAGATTGTACACCGTATACTGTATGTAAACAATTCTACAGACATATATAGTTTTGGAATTCTGCATAACATGTTTACAATTCTACAGACATATTTTTGATACTCTATATCGTAAAAGAATAAAGCATTCTTACGACAGTCCGTTATGGGCCAAGGGGTCATAGAAAGTTAGGCTATACGATTTCGAGACCATCGGCATGATTGTATTAATGTGGCCGTCACAGCGCACAGGTCGCCTTTACTTCCCAGACAAGCTGGTACCCATTGATTTAAAGCTGCGTGGGCTTCAAGCCGCAAGTGGGGATCGAACCCTAGCTCTTCACAATGACAGTACAGTGCCTTAACCACTGTGCCATCACGGCTCAATCTGAAGTGGATGTTAAGTAATGTTATTGTAAAATCAAAATTTGGTGGTTTCATGTGAAATGTATAATTTTACACATTGAGAATAACTTATAGCTAATAATAAATTGAGAATAACTTATAAATTAGTATAAATTTATGGTAAATATACGTGATGAGAAAATTATTTGTGATTCTATTCTGCATGTATATAGTTTTAGAAGTGATACATTTTGAGTTCACGTTTTATAATTATTATTGTAAAATAAAAACAATTGGGTTATTAAAATGGTAAATGTAAGTTTATTTACATATTCGGAAAATGTATCAAATGAAATGCAGAATAAATTTGCAATAGACGTGTACGTTTCGATATTTCGATATTCGAATCCTATTTTACATGTTTTTCTTTACGCAAAATAAGAGGAAGGAAAGTTTGGTCGTTTTTTATGAAATGTCAATTTTTTATGTATTTAAAAAATTTATCACACAAATAAATTAGTTTAAACATGTGATAAAATCTAGAAATTAGTTCTTTAAATTATTGAGATTTTACTATATTTACACCAATAGAAGAAATTTTGAAAAAAAAATATATATAATTTTATTTAAAAAAAAAATTAGGTTTAACATTTGTAAGTGACTTAAATTTTATTTAATAAAACTGTTACATGGTTGTAGAAAAAAGAAATTTAAGTGATACAAATTATTGCTTTTATCATGAAATTATTTCTTTAACAAATATGTAACACCATTCAAATTTTACACAACATGCAAGAATTGCTTGACAAAATATGCTTTGTTTTCCTTCTAAACATTCAAATATTAGATAACAAAAACATAATATATTATCCTTAAATCTCCAATTCTATTTTGAATAAAATACAATTTTGAACGTTTAAGTCATTAAAAACTAATTTAATACATAACCCCATCATTTTAAATACAATTAGTTATTTAAATTTTTTAAAAAAAACAATACTTTTTTTTCTGTATCTCATTTTAAAATCTAAAATCAAATAATTAGACGATATTATAAATTGTTACGTTTTTCATGAACAAAAATTTTTGTATGTATTTTGCATGTATTTTTTTTTTTCAAACTTATTTTTTTTACAAAAAAAGTAAAAAGAGAAGTTTTGCGACAGCAAACGATGTAAGTAATTGAATATTTTGAATTAATTTTATTGATTTTAGTTTTACTGTTTTAATTTTTAATAAACTATCCATGAAATATTTAGGGAAAAGAATACAAAATTTTACAGTTTTTAAGTTGGAAGCATAATAATTGAACATAAAAATCTGAACACCCTACTTGTTATGCAAAAAAAAAAAAATTTAAATACTGAACATTTGGTTAGAATATATTGGATAGAATATTAGAAAAGCTTTATATAAAACTAAAAATTCTAATAGTTTGAAATGTAGCTTTAAATTTCTATTACTTCACCATAAGTATATAAAATATTAAATAATTTTGTCTTTTAAGTATTCAAATTGCTTTAATACCATTACTATTTATATACTATTTATCAACACTTTGTACAAATTAGTGGAATAAAATATCAAATATAATTTATTTAGCATTCTAATCGTGACAGTCGTTTTTTTTCTTCCTTTTCGTGACAGTTGTCTTTTTATATTTTTCTATCATATTTTAGATACTTTAATTGTTGTAAGATTCTTAACTACGAATTATAAGACATTTTATGCATTTACTTGGTATGAAAAACTTATGTTTATTTATTTATTTTTTTGTTTCAATACATAAAAATGTGGTACAATTGAGAGCTTCAATGTGAATATTTACTGATTTCACATAATGAGTTACTTAAGTGTTTAAATGAAACAATATACTCATTTGACACGTTAAGCAAGGCATTTTAAGAAATGTTAAATAATGCTTTTCTTATGCTTTTAAATTTTGATATTATAGTTTATTTGACATTTATACTTAATTGATAACTTACTTTATTATTATGAAATGTTATTTTAAGGATATAAATTGTATCAACAACGGAAATAATATTGCAACTTATTCGATATTTTAAATAAAGCACGGGTACAAAAAATAATTTATCTAAGCACCTAAACTGTAACATCATTATTAACAAAAAAGAAGAAACATTTGATTAAATTAAATATGGGTTTAAGAACATGAAATTTCTAATGATGACGCTTGTATAAATCATAACAACATTATTAATTATAATCGATAGGATTCAATATGAAAACGTATTAAATATCGACTACTTTATTTATTTAAGTAATTGAACTGTAACAATAATACAAAACAGACTTCTTAAGAATAATTTCAGATCCAAGAATTACAAACATGTCATCGAGGGATGCCTTTTTTTTTCTTTTTTTTTTTTGCAAAAAAAGAAAGAAAAATTCACTAGAATAGAAGAAAGGCGCGCACGCATAGGTAGCTCAAGGCGCGAAAATCAAGTTGGGAAGGGAAAAAGAGTTCTAGGCAAAAGAGAGAGAGAAAAAAAAGAACTAATTTAAAAAGAAATAATAAAAAGAAATAAAGGGAGAAGGGAAGAGAAAGAAAAAAACGCAGGTCATGAGGCACAACTCGCATAAGTCATAATCTCTTTTATAATATTGTCACGTATCAGCTCTCACCCGTTGAATACACGCTTTTTCTTCTGGGCCTTAAGTGGTTATGCTGAAAGGCATCAGAACATTACATTTTACAGAACATATCTGTATCAAGTATCAATTAATACGCCGCTAACCATTTAAATTAGTTCTAAAATAAATAGACTTTTGCTTTTTTTAATAATAAATTAGATAATAAATATGAAATTATATCAAATATTTCTACAAGCATTGACAAGTATCAGCTCTCACCCGTTGAATACACGCTTGTTCTTTTGGGTCTTAAGTGGTTATGCTAAAAGGCATCAGAACATTACATTTTACAGAACATATCGGTATCAAGTATCAATTAATACGCCGCTAACCATTTAAATTAGTTCTAAAATAAAAAGATTTCTACTTTTTTTAATAATTAATTCGATAATAAATATGAAATTATATCAAATATTTCTACAAGCATTTTCAAGTATCAGCTCTCACCCGTTGAATACACGCTTGTTCTTTTGGGTCTTAAGTGGTTATGCTAAAAGGCATCAGAACATTACATTTTACAGAACATATCTGTATCAAGTATCAATTAATACGCCGCTAACCATTTAAACTAGTTCTAAAATAAATAGTCTTTTGCTTCTTTTTTTAAAAATTAATTAGATAAAAAATATGAAATTTTATCAAATATTTCTTCAAACATTTTCAAGTATCAACTCTCACACTTTGAATACACGCTTGTTTTGGACCCTAAATAATTATAACAATTCATCATAACAATTTTTACTAAACATATTTGTATCAAGTATCAATAAATAGATAAGCCATGCGATAGCCATTTTAGTAAGTTTATAAATAAATAAATTAATATTTTTCAAATTAGATAATAAATATAAAATTATTTAAAAAATATTTTAAATATTGCCCCGTATCAGCTCTCACCCGTTGAGTACACGCTTATTCTTCTGGGTCCTTAAGTGGTAATGGTAAAAGGTATCATAAAATTTTTTATGAAACATATTTGTATCAAGTATCAATAAATATATAAGCTAAATGATAGCCGTTTAATTAGTTTTAAACTAAATCAATTATTATTTTTCTATTTAGATAATTAATATGAAATTATTTAAAATATTTTTTTCAAATATTGTCATGTATCAGCTCTCATGCGTTGAATACACGCTTGTTCTTTTAAGTCCTAAGTGGATATGCTAAAAGGTATCATAACATTATTTTTATTAAACATATCTGCATCAAGTATGAATTGATATATATGTTACCTGATAGCCGCTTAACTTAGTTTTAGAATAAATTTTTTTTTTCAATTCGATAATAAACATGGAAATTTATTAAAATATGCTTTTACTCACATAAGTAAAAGATGTTTTAATAACTAATTACAAGTGCCAAGCTTTAAAAGTAGATATAAATTATACAGTTTAAAAAAACATTAAATTCCTAAAACTTCTTGATTTAAAATATCTATATATAGTATCATATCAATAAACATATACGCTACATGATACCGTTTAAATAAGTTTTAAGATAAATCAAATATTACTTTTGTTAATTAGTTAGATAAATATAAAATTAATTAAAATATTTTTAAACACACAGAAGATGTTTTAATAACTAATTAATAACTAATTAAAAATGCCTACCTTTAA